GGGGGGACGATGGGAGCGAGAGTGCGGGCGAAAGTGAAGAAAAGATCAAGAGTGAAAATGTGAGCTTGGGCTCTTTCGGAGAAACCGAGTCAGACGTAGATGCACCAGACACAGACAGTATTGCTATGGGGAGGGCTTATTTGGAGGCTTTGGGGAAAGTTGGCGGCATTGAACTGCTTCAAGAAGATAAAACCCTGCGGGTGTTCCAGAATGAAGGTTTCATGGGCTTGTTTGCTCTACCCTTTTACAATGGATTTCCTCTCGCCTTCATGAAAAAGCCTCCCTGCTATTTCAATGCGCGAGCTGAACGCGTATATTGGGCTAGAGATAGCAGCTAGCTTGTGCCCGCTCATGCGCCTTCGAGACTACTGGTCAAACAACGAGTTCTACGGGCATGAGCTATTCAAAACGACAATGAATAGAGATCTATTTCTCGGAATCCGGGCTGCGCTTACGCTTTACCCAATCGACTCTGTTTCTGAAGAAGTAAAGCTGCGTGATCCGATGTGGCAGTGCCGTAGCATTCTCAACAACATCCTGAAGAAGTGCGTAGAGCTGGCTGTTCCACGCGGAGTGTCTGCTTTCAATGAGAGCTCGGTGCGCACAAAGGCTCGGTCCGCAGCAAGAACCTATCTACCATCTAAATCGGACAAGTATGCTGTTCGATTCTATGCACTTGTCGACTGGAAGACTCTATACGTACACGGCCTTTTCGACAACGGTAGAAGAAACAGTAGCATTTAGAGCGCTATACAGCTCTATTCCCGCAGATGAGAAGACCCATGGCGACTAAATGCAGCACTGATGACCTAGACCCAAACAGTGCAACTACATTGTGGATAGCAATGCTGTGCATGCAGCACCAGCAGTTTCCTTCGCCCAGTGGCAAACGGGTTGTGATCATGGATTCTTTCTATACACGTCATGCGTTTGCTAAGCACCTGCTGAGTATGAGCGCTGGAGAAATTCGTATAATCGGGACGTGTCGACTCAATTTTGTCGACGCACTGTCGCGACCTGCAGTTGAAGCTGCCGTTCTATCGCTAAAAGACGCTGAGGCAAGAACTTGGAAGCTGGTGGCTGCTATTGACATCGTCGGTCGTACAATGAAGAAGGCTGAGCAGGAACACAAAAAGCGTCAGAAAAAACTCAAACCCTCTCAAAGAACTCAGTTCGCACCTGATGTATATCATTCGCCTCACGCTGGATATGTTGTGTTTCGAGACAAAAAGGTAGTGGTGTTTTACACCAATGACCTATCCGCCACGCCAACTCAAGCCGTACTAATCGGTAGTACAGCTGAAGCTCACGTTTGCTGCAATGGTGAGGCTTTGATTCAACGCTGGACTGGTACGGAAGTTTTTCGACGATCCAACATTGCTGCTCCTGTGACTGTAACCGCCTACAATTAGTACATGAATGCAGTCGACCGATTCGACCAGTTACGCAGTACAAATCCGACGCAGCCGCGAGAAAAAAGGCTGCAAATGAGTATATTTACCTGGTTGCTCGATGTCGCAATACACAACACGTTTGCGTTGTATCAAGAAATTGCTGATTGCTCTGCACCCAAGAAACTATTCGCCAAATGAAGGAAGAGATTGTCAACATGCTGGTAGCCCAGCAAAAGCAGTTTGTACAACAGCTGAGGATAATTGCGGACGGGCAGTCCCCTTCTGGCTCGTTTATGTCAGGGCCATGATAAGAAGGATAGCTGAGAATGCGTCCCAAATGTGTTCCCAAACCCAAATAAATTCCCAAACAGAGCGGTGCCTTGGGAACATATTTAGGACAGTATAGCGATCCCTGGTGTATTTTTAGTAGAACCTTTTGAAGCGTATTTAGGAACGAGATGTCGGGAATATATTTGGGAACGACACACTGGGAACATATTTGGGAACGGAATACAAAAACAAATTCAGGGATTTTCAGGGATTTGTTTATCAAGAGCTCGCCCTACTCAAACTCTACCGGTGCGCAGTTTTTTGTGTTATTCCTGCTCTTGTTGCTCGCAAAATGCGCGATACGCTGCTGGAATCTCAACAGTGATCAGGTTTCCGTGTGGCGGAGCCTCTTGACGATGGTGGCGGATATCTTCTATGAGCTCAACGTGATCCTTCGACTTCTGCTTGATCACAGCCATAAAGGGCAGCAAATTGGGGTGTGCTGACGAGAAGGACTCGTTAAGGTCCCTGTTGAACCTCTCCAGAGCGTTGTTCGTGCGATTGACGATGTCCATCGTTTCACTAATCGCATTTACGTTCCATAACGCAGGATCGTAAGTGCGCATCCACGTGCGTTTGAAGTAGCGCCAAAACGTGTCCCATTTGACACGATGACCTGACTCATCCACGCGGCTACGGACGAACGGAATCCCTTTTTCTGCGATTTCGTCAATTGGTATCACGGTCAGCACATCAATGGCACCACTGGTCATCACGTGACTTACCGTCTCCTTTGGAATGCGTAGGTCGATCAGTTTGCGACGCAGCGCCTGCTTCCAGTGGAAGAGGCAGCCTACAATGGGGACACCAGCAAATTGCTGACGCACAGCGTTGACCAGACCCAGTTCAAAGTCACACGTGACGTAGCGCGGCTCAACTTGAAGATCGCACTGCATGATGACGTTGTCGAGCAGGTGCCAGTAGGTATCTTGGTACTTGTCTGGTAGCAGTACGTAGAAAATGGGTAGGTAGAGTTCGAAGGCTGGATCATAGCTCATGACTACAGCAAGCTGTGCAAACGGCTTTGGGCACACCTTAAACGTGCAGTCCACAAAAAGTGGATTCTTTGGGTACTTGAGCAGACGAAGCAGGTCCGGATGCGCAAACCCAATCATGCGCTTGATTACCCCCGCATGAGCGTAGACGTAATGAAATTGTAGGAACGGCCGTTCGTCATCAGGGCTGACAAATACCGTAGGTTCGAGCTCGATAGCTCGAAACACGTCTCCGCCTGTGAGCTCCTTGCGCACGTTCTTCACAAACGAGACAGCCCTGTGACGGGGCAGGTAGCGGAGGCTGGTATTCTCGCCGTGCTTGCGATGGAGGTGCCGGATTGCAGCCTTCCACACTGCAGAAGGCGCAACCGACATGTCGGTAGTCGCGAGGGCCTCGAGAACCTCTCTCATCTCTTCCGTAGCTTCTATCACTGTCTCAGATTCGCGCACACACGCGTGCTCACCGACTTCTTCAATAGATCCGCTAGACTTGACGATCAGACGAGCAGGGCAACTGGCCGATCGGAAGTGACTACAAATGTAGTACACGGTCCCGTTGTAGCGGCTCTTGACTGAGTAGGTGAAGTTCTTGTGCTCCATAAATGAAAATCCCAAATGACAAGCATGTAAATTGTTGTTTTGAGTCTCAAAAAATGGTTGGTTCTCGCCTACTGCTAAAAACGAAACAGAAGTTGATGAAATGTTGCGCTTATGAAGTTATGTTGCTGTAAAGCTGCTGAGATGTTGCCCAATTTGGGACACTTTAATCGTCGATGTTTATTATACAGTTTATTAGTGCCCGAATACGTTCCCAAACCGATGATAAATAGTACATATTTGGGAGCACACATTTGGGTTTGGGAACATATTTAAGATGCATTATCTCTAATCGATAAGAAGTGCCGTCTTAGCAACATCATCATGTTCAAGCATGCAAACACTGCTACAAAAAAAATTGGACGAGTGCGACCACCCATCAAACATGGTTCCAAAATCGCTCGGGAGCACCCGTAGCAGCCTTCAAGTTTGCGTGAGACCGGAAGCTCGCCAAACGTCACTGTGGTAGGCCGTATATGTGCTACTCGACAGTGATGTAGGATATTGGGTCTACACGGCCACTAATGAGAACCTCTCGTGGTTCATAGCCTCGACACCTTAACGGTGCGGTGGCCAGTATATTTGCTGAACAGGACAGGCGACTAGGGAAGCGGGCTGACAAGGTCATCGGGTTAGCTTGTACTTAAAGTTAAATGGCAACTATGTTTTATCATAAGAAAACACAGTACTTGTCACATACGTATATGTGGTAGCAACCATTCCGATTTTTTTTAATATTTAGTTAATATTGGGTGGAGTAAATAAATTATTAAAATATGTAGCATTTTTAAGTACAAAGGTTATTTTTATAAGAATCCAAAAATATAAAATACTATCATCTATGATAAATACATCAAGAGAGTCGCTTCAAGTTTCTTCTCTGAAGTTTTATCAGATTTAAGGAAAGATCTGACAGCAAGTATGCTTTCCATGAAGTCAAACCTGATAATTTATTCAATCTGACAATGATCAAAACGATAAGGTTTAATACAAGCTTCAAAAAATGCAAAAAATATACAATATTCAACAAAACGAAACCACGGTATAATCTTATAGATTTCATGCGTGTCGTTCGACCGTCCACCTCAGCAAAGTGCGATAATATATTAGCCAATGGTAAGCACAAATGTAGCACGAAGGGAGCTTGGTCAATCAAGGCAACTTCCTAAAGTGTCATATCACGTAATTGCCTCGTATTTATGAAGGGTTAATACAAATTTGCAGTGATTTAATACAATGACGACTATGAACATCGATACTTGTGGCAGACCAATAAACTATACAAAAATTGTTTAATGTTACCTTTGTTGTCGCCCTCTCCAAGTATGTCAGTTTAAAGCATGGAATAGTGCGTGAAATATTCAAATGAACTTATAACCGTCTGAAATGATATCTTTGGTTCCACACAAGTATGTCAGAGCTTGGAAATCTTATATGATTTTTTCTTTGTTACCATGGCGTCCAAGCCTTCGAAAAGTTAGTGAATGAATTCCTGAGAGCTTCTTCGGTGAAGCACGACTTTGAATTAAAAAAAAATCACTCTGAGAGCAATTTCGATCTGTTATTCTTCCAAATTCTTGTCAGCTTCCAGCAACCTTTGTTCGAGATTCCATGTATCTCTTCTAGTTGTCCACCTACTGTCGTAAAGTCCATATTACATATTAAACAGCTACGTATGTTGTTTGCATCTCAACCATTGGTGTCCACTGTAGCTTGTCCCACAGCACAGCTCGATCTGTAGTCGACCACTCGGAGACAGAAATATGGTTGCCTTTCGGTGGTTTATGAGCGGAGCCGTACACTACCGCGTGCAGCGACATTGTAGAAACATTCGTTTTCAATTGTTCAGTCTTGCTTTGTCCCTTCTCCAGCTTTAATGTGAGATTAACAAGACGCGCGACCAACACTTCATTGCCAGAGCTGGGGTGGTATCCCTCTGCAAATCCAAACAAGCTTACATCGAGCGACTGACCATCGCTTGACACTGTTCCCGTGTAGTCTCCAATGCACCAGCCTCCTGCCGTCGCAATCATGGATGATATGCCGCTCGGCAGCACACGGAAGACTCGAAGCTGTCCGTCCAGTATTAACGTCGTTGGTGCTCGAGTTGTATTCGGTAAGACTGGAAATACCGATCGGAATGACAGGCAGCAGTCGGTCTCTCCAAGCGAGACGTCGACGCAGCTGAATTCATACATGAACTGCGCGATATCAACAACGCGATAATCGCCAGACGATTGCCTACCCGATGAGAGATCAAGGGTTTGCGTTGACTCAGGCAAGAGCATCCATCGTTGTCTGAATCCATGATTGGTTGGGCCTTGGGTAATGTTTCGAACTTGAGAAGTCAGGGAAATCGTGGCCTCTCTCGCTTGAGCAACATATACTTGAAAGATTTCACTTAAAGCGTTCAGCAAGCTCTCTGAGTTTTCCTTCCACTCGAGTAAAGCTGAAATCTCCGATCGGAGTTCGTTGAAGCTGTCCCGATCATATACGACCGATAAAACATCATCCACGAGTATCGGTAAAGTTAAATACTGATCTCCAAAGGGGGCATCATAGGGAAGCTCGCGTACTAAGCTGTCGAAAACGTCGTACACAATTGACACCAACGATACAAAGTGCTCGTTCAGCACTGATTTACTCGTCATATCCCTCGCAGCGATGAACGCAGAATTCAGGTGCCACTGGATAACAGTAGACGATAGCACCCGCAGAAATAAATGCACGATCACTCGACTCACGCCTCTTTCTTGGTCTAAGTGGACTCCTGTATCGACGCTGGTAGCTGACGGAATGCGGATCGGAGGATAGAATGAATTACCCAGAACGTCATTCAGAAGTGAAATGACGGCGTTCTCCAATTCTGTAGACGAGACTGGTGGAGTCCCTCGCAATCCAGCTGCACGAATCAAATACGAGCGAACGTAAAGACCAACTCTGCTGGTACTAAACTCGATATCTCCACGTTTTAGGAATTTGAAAAACTTCCACAAAATCAAAATATGTAGCCCTTGTTCCAGGAATTCCGCGCTACCAATATTTTTTAGCGGTGGAATCTCGGCGTCTTTATGCTGCTGTTCATCCCCTCCCATGTTATCACCGGGGATATCTGATGCCGGAAGATCAGCGTTACGATGATTAGTCGATCGTCGGGACGACACTAGCGAGAACGCAAGTGATGCGTGTCGCGCCAGCACGGATGCTTTGATATAACCCCCTGGTTGTTGCTTACGAGCATGAAGTTGGAAGACATAAACAACGAAATGGTGTGTCATTTCTCGGTGTTCACGACTCGTGCCACTGTCGTAGTTGTAGAACCACTTTGGGGGCGTGTGGCTATTGATCACATACAGAGCGGCATTCTGCAGTCGAAAGTCAAGGTTAGTCAGTAGTAGAGGAGGCACTGTCTCGTTTACTATCGAACCTTTGGATGTCCCTGTTGCATCTCCCTCTTTGCACGCAACCAGACCGCGTCCTCATTCGGTTGCTCTGGAAGCCACTCCTCAGACAGTGTCACACTTTCACCAATTTGAAGACTGCGCTCGATCTCATGTCTGCCTTTGTCCTCATCTCCTCCAGCCCCAGCGTCTCGAAATAAAGACACGAGACTAGGAGACCACAGTGGAGCGACGTGCGATGGTTCGAACCGAGTGCACACCAGCAACTCATCAAGGACAGTAGAGCTCACGTCCTCTGAAAAGGTCACAAGTAGATGCACTGAGCATCCACAGTAACTCCGCTCGATATGTCCAGGACAGCAGTGCGGGAAACACCTCAGCAGCTACAAAAGTGGACAATATTGAATTAACACTGGTTGTGTGGGAGACAGGGTAATAGTGTTCTTTACCTTAACCCCTCGTCCGAGGTTACTCCTGCGAAAACTGCTATTAGCGAGATATCTTTTAAGTTCACGACTACCCAAAATCGGATATCCTACCGGGCATACTCGCGTTTGAAGAGCGGGTGCTCCTCTTCACTGCAACCGAGGCGTAAGAAGCGACAAGACACCACGTGTACCATCGGGTAATCGTCAAGCTGGGGGCGTTGGGGAGTCGGCGGTTGACGGCGTTTTTAGAGAGTTCGTTTCACTACGTTCGTCAGAAAAAAGGTAGCTACTGCACAACGTCCCTCGCCGATGGACCGTTGCGAGCGCTATTGTCAAAATCTATCCTGATTTTTGCATTTTGCTTTCTCCAAGAACAAATGTGAACTTTTTGAATAATAAGATCGGCGATGTATATCGCGTAGCGCGAGCGAAACAACCAGGCGTCAGTACAGTAGAAAACCCAATCCGTGCCAATTGCTAGACCTGTACGACATGGAGCAATCTGTCTACTGTTTGGCATAAATTAACCGTGATAAAGCGTCTATCCGAAGTTTCCTGCGCACCAACGATTGTACTGGACCCGATTCCTATGTTGTTATGTGCGAATAGCAAAAGAAGCTCGCTTCTAATGAACACACTTTGAAGACTTGCGATCTCGCTTTGGAGAAAACCCAGTATCCAGGATGGGTCCCAGCATCTCGCCAAGGTGCTTTTACGTTTGACGAAACTGCTGTTTCATTGTTTCATTGGCTTAAAACCCCTTCGCCTTTTTACCCAATCCAGCAATTTGCATTTTTCAACCAATTGTTTCACTTCATTTTTGGCGGGAACTTGCATTGTTCAATATCATTCGCAATGGACACCGGTGGCGACGCGTCTCCTCCAGCTTCGCCTTCTAACTCGGGCGCTACGAACGCTCCGACGTCCGCTCCAGCGGCATCAGCTACGCCTACATCCAACGCGCCCAACGCTACCTCTGCGCTCGCGAACGGCCTAGAGGACAGCGAGAACGAAAGCGATAACGATGACAGTCGAGGTCGCAAACGCCGACGCCTGCGCCGCGGTGATGCGCCGTCATCGCCCCCTGCCGGTGCTCCCGCGTCACCAACACTGAGTCAAATCGCGAATGGAGATGACGCAGATAACATGGACGACTTTGTAGTGGGGGATATGGAGCGAGAGGAGGCTCAGGGCGATGACGACTATGGGGAACAAGCCGAGGAGCTGGACGAGGAGATCGTGGACGAGTTGGACATCCAGGAACGCGAGAGACATTACTTTAGTGAAGACGAACTGGACGACGATGTGGACGGCGAAGATCTGGGCGAGAACGCAGAGATGTAGGGCTTTTAAAACTAGGATTTCTAAAAACCTAGACGCTAAATTAGTGACAATTTTGTTATTATGCAGGGATTACCGACGCATGGAGACGTTGGATCGCTATGATACGAACATGCTGGACACGAGGCAGTACGAAGACATGGATCTGGACACGAGAAGAGCCGTAGAAGACGAGCTGAACCGTCGAGATGCCCGCGAAGGCCGCATCGCCCAGGTGTTTCAAGAAGACCAGGAGATGGAGCACGACGATGCTCATAGACGGAGATTCAGACGCCGACAAGAAGGAGAAGATGGATACGACGACGTGGGAGGCGCTGCAGACCACGATGAAGAGCCCATTAACTTGGAGCACTTCGATGTGCCTCTCCGAGAGTGGATTGCCACCGAGAGGCCGAGAAACGAGATCAAGAGGAGATTCCGGAATTTCCTCAATACTTTCGCGGACGGCAAAGGGAGACTGGTGTATCACGAGAAGATCGTGCAGCTGGCGCAACGCAACGAGCAGTCTTTGGAGATTGAGATCGGCGATGTGATTCACAGTATGTCGATGGTGGCGGCGTGGTTGGTGGAAGCTCCCAAGGATATGCTGGCTATCTTAGACGAGGTGGCGAAGGAGGTGGTGCTGGCGCTGTTCCCGTACTATTCGACGATCCATCAGCAGATTTACGTGCGTATTCTGGATCTCCCTGGTACTGAAAGACTGCGAGACTTGCGTACAGCTCACTTGAATTTTCTTATCAAAGTTTCAGGCGTCGTGACGAGACGTACGTCTGTGTTCCCGCAGCTCCAGCTGGTCAAGGTGAATTGTCCTGGCTGTGGCGCTGTATTGGGCCCGTTCACGCAGCAGAGTCAACAGGAGGTGAAGCTGAACGCCTGTCCGGAGTGTCAGTTCCGTGGCAACTTTCCTGTGAACAGCGAGCAGACAGTGTACCGTAATTTCCAGAAGATTACACTACAGGAATCTCCGGGCAGTGTGCCACCAGGTCGTGTGCCTCGCTCTAAGGACGTCGTGCTGGTGGGAGATCTCATCGATAAGGCACGACCTGGAGACGAGATCGCAGTGACTGGCATCTACACGAACACACCAGACCCGACGCTGAACTTACGTGATGGATTCCCTGTGTTCCGTACGGTTATAGAAGCCAACCACGTTGAACGTCGTGCTGATGTACTGGGCAGTCAATTGCTCACTGCAGAAGACAAGAAGCAAATCTTGCGACTGGCTAAACAACCGGATATTGCGCAGAGAATCATCAACAGTATCGCGCCGTCTATCTACGGTCACCAGCAGGTCAAGACGGCGCTGGCGCTCGCGTTGTTCGGCGGTAAACCCAAGTTTATCAAGAACTCACGAGTGCGTGGCGACCTGAACGTGTTGATGGTCGGAGATCCCGGTACAGCCAAGTCGCAGTTCCTCAAGTTCGCAAAGCAGACAGCTCCTCGTGCTGTGTACTCGACCGGTAAAGGAGCTTCTGCTGTGGGTTTGACGGCTGGTGTGTCTCGTGATCCGTTCACGAAGGAGTGGGTGCTACAGGGCGGTGCGTTGGTGTTGGCAGACAAGGGCGTGTGTCTGATTGATGAGTTCGACAAGATGAACGAGCAGGACCGGACGAGTATTCACGAGGCTATGGAACAGCAGAGTATCTCGGTGTCTAAGGCTGGTATTGTCACGTCATTACAGGCTCGTTGCTCGGTGATAGCGGCTGCGAATCCTATCGGTGGGCGATACAACGCTGCTCGAACGTTCGCTGAGAACGTGGAGCTCACAGATCCGATCCTCCAGCGCTTTGACCTGCTCTGTGTGTTGCAGGATAAAGTGGATCCTGTGGATGACGAGCGACTAGCAGACTTTGTGGTCTCCAGTCACATGCGAAGTAACTCAAAGAAGAGTCCAGAGGAGCAGGAAGGAGACGAAGAGGAGGAACTCAGTGCCATGACGCAGTCCATGCAAGTAGGTGACGCAGATGCGAGCATGACGCTGGACCAGGAGCTGCTGCGCAAGTACATTCTCTACGCTCGAACGTACGTGAACCCTGTTCTCGCGAGCGGACTGGACACAGGCAAGGTGGAAGCTTTCTACGCGCAGCTTCGACGCGCGTCACAGCACACTGGAGCTGTGCCTGTTGCTGTACGACACTTGGAGTCGCTCTTCCGGATGGCTGAGGCTCATGCTCGCATGCATCTGCGCGACACTGTGGGAGATGAAGACCTTGCGCTGGCTATCAGAGTGTTGACCGAGAGCTTGTGCGACGCCCAGAAGTTCACGTTCAAGCGGCAATGGCGACGTCTGTTCCGACCGTATCTGACGTATCGCCAAGACAACAACGTGCTGCTGCTTCACGTGCTGCACGAGCTGTTCAAGTCCGCACACGCCTACCAGCAACTCCGCATGCAGACCAACGCTCAGGCAGGACACCGCAGTCACAAGGAGACGACACTCACAGTGCTTCGAGACGATCTGCTGTCCAAGGCTAAGTCGGTGGGTATCTACGACCTGAGCGAGTTCTACGAGTCTGCAGCGTTCACCAAGGCAGGCTTCCACATCGACGAGGCCACCAACTCCATCATCAAGGACATATAAAAGCAGGTAAGTAGTCAGACAGCATGTCATATACACGTTAGAGTGCCTTGCCGTTGTACACGAGCTGATTGATCTTCTCCGGTAGCAGTTCGGCCATCTCTCCGCAGATCTTGAGCTCCGTCTGGAAGCTGCGACGTAGTTCTCTGCCTTGCTCTCCTTGGTGCTTGGTCTCGTACTTCCGGACCAGTTCAGTCACAGCTTCATGATACGCGAGACTCTGACGCCAGTACCCCACTGTTTTGGCCGTGTCGGATACGAAGGAGATCTTCCCACAGGCATGAGCGAGACCAAAGTACCCAAGCAGCAGAGTCCGGAACTCCTTGGGAGACAGAGCTTCGCCTGGAGGGAGACAAACGTCCTTCCCTCCACGCAACACACTAACCCGTATAGGATCTTCGGTGGAGTTTTCAGCATTGGACGAGGGATAGTAGAGCAGCAGGAACTGCTGGTAGCACTGAACCGCCTTGATCAAGTACGTCATGGCCTTGTCTCCTGTCTCCTTGCTCTGTTTCAGCTCGAAGACGTCGGCGTTAATCTCTGCGCACTCGAAGTAGAGCTCCTGCAGCAGATCAGTGAAGGCGCGTTCGTTCAACGTATCGCCCAGCATGGGGGTCAGCAGTGCCAGTCGTCGTCTCTGCATGGCCACACGACGTCCTCGAGCGTCTTCGAACGGGAGGAGACGACGGTACAAGGCGCTCTCTCGCTGTAAGAGACGCACATGCTGGGTCACAAACCCGTCCAAGACAAACACCTCTCGAGCTCGAGTACACGCACGAAGCCCCATCTTGAAGACGTCGCGAGCCTGGTCGAACGTCTCCACACTGGACGCCGGTACAAACATCATCCCGAAGCCTTCTTGACTCTGACTCAACTTGGCTAGAGTGGCTTCCATGCTGCTGGGTCGAGGCAGCACCGTATCGACGTCATCCACATCGAACCCCTCCTTCCTCAGCGCTGCAAGACGCAGCGTCGTCACGTGCAGTCGACTCCACGTCGAGTAGATCTCAGCGACCAGCAGCTTCTGGTCTTCGTCCTCCTCATCTCCGTGATGCAGCAGCATGAATTCACTCGCCTTCAGACACGTAGCGGCATCTCTGGGATTGTCCGTATCGAGGTAAAACTCCACCAGTTTCAGTGCATTGCAGACCCACTCATGAGCCCCTGCAAACCTCGGCGTGTCGTCCTGCTCTGCATCGTTCACGCACTGCAACAACTGCAGTTCTAACGTGGACAAACAGAACTTGGCCGACTCATCGGCCATGCCCAAACTCCCGTATACTTGGGCCAAGTAAAAGTGCGCGTGGGTCTGTGTCGCTGCCAACGCGTCGTCCTCTGTCTCCTGATGCTGCGCACACAGACTTTGACTTGCTGTTAGATAGCACAGCGCTCTCAATAGTCTCGACCTGTTGGACCAGAGCACTCCCAGCTGGTTCAGCAGCTCCACGACGTACACCACGAACTCGTCGTGTTCGTTCTTCACCTGTACCGCTGGCATCTCTTTCAGAACCCTCGGTGCGTCCTTCTCAGCCCCCGATTGGCCGTCATCTGACGTGATCTCCGTCGTAAACGTCACTAGCTCTGGGAAGAAGAAGTTTCCAGCTTCTTCTAGTGCTGGCTGGGCGTCTATAACAGCACAATAACATCAGTTTATAGGTTAAAACCCACTCTAGGCATCAAGATTGAAAGTATAAGCACGTGAAAACAGACGCACTGTGTGGCTCCTCCACTGCTAGGAACGTGGTTCCTAGTTTGGCAGTAGCAACAGCGTTTTCCTGCAAAAAAAATATGGTCCAAAAGGTTCGACGTTGAGTGTTGTTGGTTCTTATAAAGGCTTTAAATACTACTACGCACTGCGGGAGGCAGGGACGTGGTTCGTAGCTTTTGTAGGATCTCGATCACGCGGTATTGAGACGCGTAGGGCGTCGTCTCTGGGCATTCTTCCTGTTAATTCAGGGCAGAGGCAGATGTTTATAAATGTAAAGTTTGACGTTAGTACGGGGTAAACAGAGACCGGGAGGGCGTGAGGTGATAGAAGAGATCAAGGCGGTTCTAACGCACCAACGCAATGGCGTCAAGACGCTGCAGGAGCGCGTGGAAGTCCTCGGGGAGATCGCTCATATCGGTGGTTTGCCGCTTTTTGCTGTCCGTTCCAAAATGAGACGCGGCTATCCTGTCCTTACCACAGGCTACGCTGATATTTACAACTTGAAGTTTCAACTACCATACGAAAATGAGAGTAAGAGTATGGTAATATTACAAGTGTAGGTCGTACAAATGGAATATTACTTCAACGTAGCCGGTAACTCTCGTTCCTACGGCGTGTGCATCCAGGATGGCAGGTTACTGTCTCCCTGTTCAGGAGACGATTGGCGTGCTACTGAAGCTGGAGCTTGGAGTGACTCTTTCGGGATTGGCTGCACGATGGCGTGGAATGGCGCCGCCTCTTTCGGTAGTTGCGGTGCTGAGACGGCGATTGGCAGCGCTGCAGGCAAACGGACGGTCTCCATGTTGCAGCGTGGCGCGCTGTTGTTCCCGAAGACGAACATGGCAAGGATCTGCAGAAGCGCCATGGCTATAAGCGCCACGCCTTCGATGATAATGAGGACATTGTCATTGCAGTCGCACTGCTGGTTTCGAGTCTTGCCCAGTATCGCGGTCATGATGCCACTCACAGCGAAGATACAGGCACGACCGAGTCGGTACCGCATAAAGCCGAAGAAGAAGAAGAAAAGCTCCCACTTAGACTCGCCAAACGCCAACAGAAAGCCGAAGCAGACGCCTAAGAAGCAGAGACAGCCGAACTGAGCTTGACTGTCCACAGTCGAGTCGGACAATCTCAACGTGTTGAAGCCGGCGCACGCCACGATGAAGAGCAGGAGGCCCACGACAGCGCTCACGAAGCGCAAGAATCCTTTCGCAGATAACCACGCCATGGTAGTGATAGGGAGACTAGGAATATGAGGAAGTAAGAAATGCCTGTCTTTGAGGATGCAGATAATAGATAATAGGAGAATAGCAGTGCATCCAACGGTAATCTATCTAGAAGTGTCGCTTGTCGGTTTGAGTCCATGCGATGATTCTCAACGAAACGAGTGAAAATTTATCACTTTGAAGGCAGATTGTGTAACTTGAAAACCAAATGTGGATTGGAAGTGGTTTACTGGTAGGAAAGACTACATCCTCTTGATTCACGACTCTATAGGTCAACTATTCAGACGACTTTGCTTTAGTAATGTCCCCCTGAGCAACGAAAAGAAGCTTCTATATCATGCCTTTCTTGGCCACTTCACCAGTCCCATTTGCACCACCGTTATCTTGCATTTCCACTTTCAAATTAGCAATTCTCCGACGACTTCACGTCGTTGCAAGTCTCCATGAAGCTCTTTCTTGTCACCATTCTAGTCACTCTGATTCAAGTCTCCACAGCGTTGAAAGCCCATCTGAATGGCTGGTATCCCTGTTCCGACTTTACTTTTTCGGATGAAGGAAGTTCCGGTGATCTAGTGGCCGAATGCGCTATGTACAATGCACCACTGTGCTATCCTGGCATCTGTGATTCCGCTGAAGCAAGCGAGACTACGGTCGATATCTTCGTGAAGCGGATACTCGCAGTGAATGAAGATCCGGATAATGCCACGAACGTTTGGGTTCTACAAGGAGGTCCTGGTGACTCCTCCACAGCGATGGAGTCTTTAATGATTGATCTACATCAACAACGTGACGGTACAGTGAATGTATACACGATGGATCATCGGGGTACCGGACGCAGCACGTTTCTGGACTGCGTTGCAGCTCAAACGATGACAACCGGTTCACCTGGTGGCTCGAAAATTGACCCATTAGAAGTGCCTGCTTGTGCACAAGACCTGCACTTTAAATATGGAGATCTCACGTCATTCTCAGTAACGAGTGCGGCTACTGACATCGCAACGATCATTTCTAACTACACTAACGGAGCCAACACTATTGTATACGGTGTGAGTTACGGTACGGCGTTGGTAGAGCGACTCATCCATCTCAACCCTCCGACGGTCACGGGATATGTTCTCGATAGTATAGCGACTGTGTCTGGAGCTCCAGCGGACAAATTCGAGTATTTTTCAACGTGGAATGTCGATTTTGGTGCAGTGGGCGACAGATTCCTCGCTCTCTGTGAACAGGACAACAATTGTGCAGCTCATTTTGCTCCAAAAGGTCTTAGAAACACGCTTCAGAGCGTACTTACAGAGTTCGACAATGATCCTAACTCGACGTGTGCTGCTCTCATGTACGATGTCATCAGCGACCTGAAGTACGAACCACCGTCGCTAATACTACGAGGAGCATTGAGTGTGTTGTTGGGTCGGTTAACCCTCCGAAAGTTGATCCCTCCCGTCGTGTACCGCTTGAACCGCTGCACATCCGAAGATGTTGAAGTATTGACACATTTCATCTCTGCTCTCAACCAAGATACCGCATTTACCAGCCAAGACGATGCATTTTACTCGCCCTTGTTGTACTATCTCATCATCTTTTCCGAAATGTGGGAATCGCCATCCCCTTCGATAGAAGTGATGCGAACTCGGTTTACTAACGCTCGGATCTCGGACAGTGAAGTGTATATGAATACGCCATTGTACTGCGCGTTCTCGAAGGAGAACTCGACTGTGTGCAATAAGCTCAATGTGAGCAGCTACGTCGACGATGGTATCATCTACGACCACGATCAGTACTGGAACAAGAGCGCTCAAATCCCTGAACAAGCCAGTGTTTTACTATTAAACGGAAAACTGGATCCTATGACGCCGTACAAGTACGCAGAGTACTTACTAGAAGCTCTCGATGGGGACAATAAGGAGTTGATCACGTTCGATTATTCCGTTCACGACACTATTTCGTCGACGCTGTTGGCCGAAGATGGCGAGAGTGGTCATACATGTGGGTTGAATTTGCTGGTCTCGTACGTGAAAAATAGTGGCGACTTGAAGAAGATGAACAAGTCGTGTGTGGAGAACCAACCCGAGTTCAACCTCACTGCACCGTCTGAAATCGTACTGGAGTTTTTGGCTACAGAGGACGCGTACGAAGGGGTGTACAGCTCCGATGTTAGCTCGAGCGATGCCTTTTAAACAGGAGGATTACTCAACGCTAAGGATATCAAAACTTGTAATCACTACTTCGCAGTAATAACCTAATTACACAAGCCATTGCGTCGCTACTAGTATCGTCCATTCTTGTCTCCATCATCTCCACGTTCCTCGTCGCTCTCGTCACTGTCTTCCTCTTCATAGTCCTCCTCGAGTTCCTCACCAGGTTCCAGTCCTCGTGGCAGATCCTCCAGCACCTCCTCGATCTCCACAATGACCTCCTTCACCAATGGCTCAGTATCGTTCGGGAATACTGCCCTCATGTCCCCTCGATGATCCACCAAAAACTTGTCAAAATTCCACGTAGGAGCCACCGATGTGCTGTACTTGTCCGCGATCTTCTTAAAGAACGGGTGGGCCTTATCTCCCGTTACTGGCGTCTTGTCCGCAATAGCGAACGTGACGCCAAATTCTTTGTATCGATCCAGAATTTCGTCGACGTTTCCAGGCTCTTGGCCGGCGAAGTCGTTCGACGGTACTGCGACCACTACGAGGCCCTGTTCACCGTACTTCTCGTGTAGTGTTTGTAGCTGCTTTAGCTGGCCAGCGTGGCCGCATTTCGACGCTGTATTGACCACCAATGCCGCCTTGAAGCGAAAGTCCTGGGGTGTCAATTGACCATTCGGTGGCTGGATGGTGGCGAATTGGAGCACGTTCAAGAATCCTCGCGGTGTAGTTGAGAAGAAACGCGTCGTGTGTGACTGGTTGACGGCAGCAAAGCTCTGGATACGCGGCGAGAGCAGCATGGAGCGCTGCAGGCGAAGCACGAGCCTTGATGCAGCCATGACCACAGGTCCGGAGTTTTTGAGTGCGAAGATGGATACATTAGTGTGGTACATAATATTTGGTGGCAGTAGTAGGTCGGTGGCATACAGATGTAGCCATTTGCTTATTTGAAATGAAACGCCGTTGTTAGAATGGGTGCTGGGGCATCGACGAAGGCGTCCAAGGAGTTTGATGATGCACTAAACGGTACAGAAGCCACGGGCAAGTTGGTGGTCAGGAATTGCGAGCTTCTGGCTCTACCCCCAGAGTGGCTACAACGAGCTGTTCACTTGAAAGAGCTGCGACTAGAACACGCCAAGTTGAAACAATTACCAGCGAGCTTCGGTTGTCTGCTATTACTCGAGTAAGTGATAACCTTACAGTGACTATATCTTATTTTATACTAATATTTTTTTTCTTTATAATCTGTAGACGATTGTCACTTTCTGGTAACCAACTGGAGACTTTACCGCTGTCATTTCATGAATTGCAGCGTCTGGAAGAACTCGATCTCAGTTGCAACGCACTTCGCTCACTATTTGGAAATTTCTGCAATCTCGGAGCTCTTCGGCGTTTATTTGTACACGAGAACGCACTTAAGAAATTGCCTACAGAATTTGGCGCCTTGAGTTCTCTCCAGATGCTGGACGTACACAACAACGTCCTGAAAAAGTTGCCAAAGTCGTTCCCGTGTCTTACACAGCTCACACGACTCGATTTGAGTCGAAATAAGCTTCGAAAACTACCTGAAGCCTTTGGAAATCTAAGCGCTCTTCGAATTTGTAACCTCAGTCGAAATATGTTACGCGAACTACCGGAATTTTTCGGGATGCTGGGAGCTCTGGAGGTGCTGTCATTATCGTACAATGCTCTGTACAAACTTCCAGTTTCTTTTGCAGAGCTCGCCAGTCTCACGAATATATCGTTCACAGGGAACAGAATCGAGTGTTTCCCAGTCCAGATAAGTGCTCTTAAAGCGCTGGTTACATTTACGTACGCTGAGAACAGACTTCGACTCTGGAAACCAGGAGAGAAGTATTTTCTAGAGGAGGAAGCACCGGAAAACGATCAAGTATTGGATACTGAAGCCATTGTGGAGATGGATACACTCGGTAGTAACCCACTTGCTACACTTGTAGCCATCCAATATCTTGATTTGAGTGACAATGTGCTGGAAGTTCTTCCGTCGCGTGGCTGGGAACATCTTGAGATGCTTCTTCATTTGAAACTTACTCGCAATCGACTTCAAATAATACCCTCAGGAGTTGGGAATCTGCCAAAGCTACAGCGTCTCGATATCGCAGCAAATAAACTGAAAACTCTTCCAAATTCCCTCTTTAGCAACAAATCGTTGGCGTATCTCGACGTTCAACATAACAATCTACAAGAAATTCCAGAAAATGCCGGCGAATGTGAAGCTCTCGTGAGACTTATATTAACTAAAAATCGAGATTTACGCGGCCTTCCTGGCAGTCTTTGTCGCCTCACTAAACTTGAAGAATTACGCGTAGACAAATCCTGTTTCTTAGCGCTTGAAGAAGACCTGACAGCGTATTGTCGAGAGCTCGCCCATTTCTCAGCTGAGTAAAGATTTAGCCGATATCGGTGGTAAAGCTCTGAACGGCTGGTGAGCTTCAAGAAGCACGATAAGTTCACGTTGGGCTGCAGTCGGTTGATCCGACGATAGTCGAATATTCGCCAATTGGAGCGCTGTGAGGCCATCACGGTCCAGAATTTCAGCAATATTTGGCTTCGCTAACAGTAGACGGACACAACGTTCATGACCGCCGAAGACAGCGAGATGAAGCGGAGATCGTCGTAAATTGTGGGTTAGTAGGGTAGGATCAGCGCCACATTGGAGAAGGAGATCCAGGATGTCGATGTAGCCATGTTGAGCTGCGATGTGAAGAGGGGTGAGAGCGTCATCGGACTCGTCCAGTCTGGCATCCACGTCTGCATCGGCTAGGAGAAGCTCTTCGACTGCAGAAAGGTGACCTTCACGAGTGGCTACATGGAGAGCTCGCCAGCCTCCAGAACGTGTAGCTTCCAGTCTCTTCTTAATGTCGATTTTGGTTTCTACGTTATTAGGTTGTAAGAGACAATGGATTGCAGTTGCATCGTCTAACATCGCAGCACAGTGAAGTGCTGTCCACCCTCCCTGCAATGAATATCAATATTTTCTTAGTGTCACAACCATTGATATTTGTAGCCATGTTGACATACACTGTCGGTATCCGCCAGATCTAACCCGGATTGTTGCAACGCATGGACAAGCGCTGGATGAAACTCATGTTGCGCTGATGCGAGGCCGTGAAGTACCAGTGGCTTGGCCTTGGAGTTGATAATTAAACTTGTTGGAACGAAGTTGCGTGGTCGGCCGCAGCAGTGACATAGACAGTGTTTTTCATCGGCAGCTTCATCGTCCTCATTTATCTTCCAGCAGATAAAGCACTCCCACTTCATATTAGCGTCACAATGCCAACTGCTAGATAATAGATACGTTGTATCGAAAGGTTCAAGAGTAAATATAGTCACTTGCACAAGTCTCCAAGTGCAGTGTATCCATTTAATCACGCTAAGATAAAAGAAACATTTTTTTATTTTATTCTTTTTTTTTACGAATGGTGCTAAAACATTTGATTTTCACACTTTCCATTTAGACTTGCTGGTCGGTAGTGGGGGTCGATTTCTCGAATGAAGCATGCGTTTGCTTGTACATGTCCACGAGGTGTTGACCACTGGTCGTTGGTGGGTATTTGGGCGGATTCTCTTCACTCACACAGTTCGGGAAGCACTCGACTTGACACGTGAAGTTGGGTTCATAAAAGAACGGAACGGAGTATCGCTCTTTACCCGATGCATTCACCACCCGATGTAGAGTGGACTTGAAGATTCCATTGGTGAATCTCTCGGCCATATCTCCGATATTGACCACAAATGCGTCATCACGGGGTGGGACATCAACCCATTTGCCCTCATGGCAGATCTGGAGTCCTCCAGTCATATCCGTGGACAGCAATGTAATAAGTCCATAGTCTGTGTGAGCCCCAGCTCCAAACACGCCATTGTCCACGTCAGACTTCTCTGGCGCATAGTGCAGCAGTCTCAACGCTGCCATGGGCTTGTCGAACATCCCTGGACCATCGAACTTCCCCTTCTGTCCTGCAGCTTCAGCGAAGAGTTTGGCTACATTGAAGCCCAACTCGCACATGGCTACATGGTACTTCTCCATTGTCTCTTGGAACGTAGGGAACTTTGCCTTATCGGGGAAGACATTGGGCCCATGAAGAGGCAACTTCATCTCGTCACTGTCCAGGGGAACGTGACGACAGATGTAATAGCCCTCTTTGGTGTCGCCTCTGGTCTGCACTGTCGGGTCCAGCGTCTCCTCATTCATGAGCGTGTATCCTCTCATGTATTTGTTAGCCAAGACCTTCTGCTTCTCCTCTAGTGGCTGGCTGAAGAATGTAGCCATCTCCTTGTACACTTGAGCCTTGAGCGTATCGGGAATGCCGTGGTTCACGAGATAGAAGAAGCCCACGTCCGTACAAGCACGACGTAGCTGTTCCGCCGCATTGGGACTGCAGAAATCTACTTCAGGAATAGCAACCATCTAGAGGTTCGCGGGGACCGATAATGAGATCTTGGTCGCAGATTGAAGGGGGATCCTAGGAATAGTGAATCCAAGTGTGATGAGTATTCTGTACCCATGACCTGATGGATACATGACCGTGATGCACAGCGCGTCAAATGGCTACACTTTAGCTACAAGACGTGGTGAAGATATGCTTCGCTACGGCATCTTTTCTCTTTGTTTTTATACTTTGTGGTCGCACAACTCCGTTAGCAAAAATGTCGGAAGCCGTACGCTAAATGTAGAGATCTGTATGAAGAGCGTCGGAACCCCAGATTTAGCAAGACGGAGGAGGACCTTTTGGGCTATTCCAAGCGTTCACTCCTTGGGCACGTACTTGCACTTCTCTCTCAGTCGCTTCAATAGCAGTTTGATCCTTTAAAATGCGGCCTGGAAGTCCGCCACGGAAGGTCGGATGGGGGGAGGACCTCGACGTCGACTCCACGCACTTGACTTCACCCACAGATGATATCTTGTACAATTCAAGCCGCGTTGCACCAACCACAACCATCCGAGGCCCAATGCTTGTAAAACCAGCAACAGCACCGGAACTACCGACGTTGTTAACGAAAATTCAACCGGGTGAAGGTTCAATACGCAGAGATAGTGTCGACAATCGACCGTCTTCGGCTATGAGACGCTTCAGTTCCAGTATCTCTACAGCTCTTCTTCCACTACCGCAAACGAAATCTGTATACTTACAAATTCTGTTCGCTGGAGTGGTGGTAATTTGCTTGGTATGGACCGTTTGGCTAATCATGCTAAACGCAGCGCCAAATTACACGGTAAATCGCGTCATGAACACCGAGAATTTCGATAATGGCGTCTTCTGGTTGTTTGTGGACCCGTCTCCATTTCTGCTGTGGCTCTCTGTGGTTGGATTGTCTGTTGCTGGAAGTGGGTATGTAGCCATTCTCGTTAAGATGGTTACTCGTCCTAAACGACGAGTGAGTCAAGTACCTGGTTCTCTACGATCTTCTCCAAAGATCGAAGCCATTAAAAATGCATCAGAGAGATTACATACTGCTAATAAACTCGCACGCCGTGTCACTTCGTCGGCTCAATTACTACTCGCGCTCGCACAGACAGATAGCGTATCTCGTCAACTTGCCGTATGATTTTTTTTTTTTTCCTTATCCTGTTAGATGCAACTTAAGCTAACGGATATACTGTTTTGATGGGATAGAAGCTCGGAATGAAGATTGGTGATTTAGCTTTCGAGACCGTTCTGCTTATCCAGGTTTTAGAGGCAGGATCACCTACGCCGATTGTAGCCATCTTCACCATAATCATCGCGTCCAATGCGTTGGCGTGCACCACCACGATGTTTTTACCATTCCAGCGCATTGGGCTTATCGAGACGCTAGTAGATCTGCTGTACGAGCCCCTGATTATTTCATGTGTTGACCAGCTCTAACCTATTATTCTTGTTTCAACGATACCAGATTCGATCTCCTCATCGTAGTTGGATGTCCTATGCTGGTGCTGGTATACTGCTTATCAACATTTAATTTCCCTCGGGATAAGTACGATATCAACCACGAAGTGTTCCCACCCGGATGGTTCGAACAGCAAGCGAGCGTTGTAGCGGATCCAGCGCAGACCGCAGTCATTTACAAGAGTTTAAAGTCGCTACGTATCTCTTCTACGCTCGACTTTTTTGCTCGAATGGGAGTCCACGCCACGTTGTTTCTGCGTCTTCGTCATCTCGTAAACCTCATCCAGACCCCGTGGAAGCAACGAGTGTGCGTGTACCCAAGAAAACATCGACCTGCTGCAATTCTATTCGTCGTTTACGCTATTCTCCTGGTCGTATTTGTGGAAGAAAGCGTCAGGACTTCTACGATAGCATGTGATCCGCATCCTGAATGTGCTGTACATGCTCGACGATGGACAATTCTGGAGAGCGGATCCTTAACGCAATGTCCATGTTTGATGATGATCGACCGCGACATCGCTCCAAAGTCCTATGCGGAGTGGGAACAACCCCTAAATGTGACTGAAAAAGTGGCTCAACTCGCAACAAGAGGCGATCTCCAGACCGTGCAGTTGACAAACCGATATCTACCAGTTTTGCCCAACGAACTTCGTCGCTGCACTGAGCTGAGGCATTTGTAAGTGCCCCAATTCTACAAGGAAAACTCGTGTATTCTAACTTAAATTTTGACACAGGACTCTGGAATATACGCATACACAGACACTACCGGACTGGTTCAAGGAATTTACAAATCTCGAATTCATGTGCGTCGATACAAACACTATCTCGATTTGTTCAACAAATTGATTATTTTTTATGGATAGACACCTTGAGAGCAAGTTCACAAGTCCATTCGTCGTTCTGCCGGACGATATGTTTAAAGACATGTCGTCTTTGACATTCATTCACTTTGCGGGTTTTGTACCCATGAAGCGGCTTCCGTCTTTTCAAGGACTTACGAACCTCAAATCACTTACACTGGCGGTGTTCCTGCTGTTAGATCAACTCCCAGATTTCGACCAACTACATCGACTCGAGCGTTTACTAGTCACGTGTGTTCCTGTTCTCGATAGTCTTCCAGATTTTGCTCCGATTAAGGAGACCCTCAAGTCGCTGATTTTAACTGATCGAGGAACTTGGTGCTGCAATGGCTTCTTGGATGAGTGCGATCTCCAGCACCCAATGTGTCAGATCCATCCTCTGTGGGGAACACCGTCGGCCTCGTGCTTAACCTCCGACCGACAGAAGGCTACTCCTGATACTCTGGCGCTGATTAAGAAATTCCCAGACAACGTCTGTAATGGTTTGCTGTTTCCTGGTACGTTAGAAGGCCCACCTACACCAGCCACGATGGATCCGTGTAATGGCACGCTTTATCGGCAATGCATCGATGCCAGCGGGGTCGAATCCATGTGCTACAACGCAAGATTCATGGGAATCGCATGTGACACAAATCCATTTCCCATCAAGATGAGGCGATACCAAATCGCTCGGGGTGTCGGTGATCCGTGTAACCCTGATTACGAGGCTTGGCTGGGATGCAAATGACTTGGTTACAAGGAAATCATGCGGTTTTCAGCTGTGTATTTGATTTGAGGCATAAAAGCACGGCTTTATTATCTTCATTAGGGGTAGCCGAACCTTCGAAATAAGCAAAAAAAAAAAAAAAAAAAAAAAAAACAACCGAGCCTAAAACATAAGCAGTTATCTTCATCGAATATAAACGAGGGAGACTCACTAATGCATGCATATTTCCCTTGGCAGAAAGGGTGGTTCGACACTGGGGAAGATTGGGGCAAGATTTGCCCTGTGATAAGAAGGTCGTCTGTTTGGCGAACTATAGGTGTGAGTCACACCTATAGTTCGCCAAACAGACTGTGAGGACACATCACTTATAGACGAAAAAAATCCCTCTATAATATAAGCTGATTATTTCTAACAAAAGCCACCTCAAGAGGTGGCTTAGACGAATAAAGGGATATAAGCACTTTCTTGGCAAAAAATATCAGCAAAAAAGTGGCCACGGTATCAGCAGTTTTTTTGCAAGGTTCGACTCCCCTATTTGTGTCGTTTCATTGTACTTTCAGTATTTTCATCAGTTAAACTTCAAATAAATCGCATTCAAAACTACGTTTTCAAAACTTTATCATATTATCAGGCCACTTGGAAGCCACGAAAAGCTTTTTGATCCGCCCCATATAATTATTTGGTGTCTAGCTCAGGCCCATTCTCAACCGCCTGTACCGCATCGCACAGTTCTTTTCTGTCCCATGGAGTCATACACCCATGGACAGCTGAAGTCGAGGAGATTTGAGTGGAGCTATTCATGTTTACTGACAGAGGTCACAAGTTGGAATACATACTGCAATCCCCCGTATTCAGAATTGCTCCAAATACATTCACCGCATCCCTTCACGGACGTTTTCTGTACGTTAACCTGTCTCTTGACATTCACATGGATATCAATACAGACTTCAAGACCATATTACGGTGAATCATGGGGGGCTTGTAACACCATAAAAAGTGGATATCAATGGTCACGTAAAAAGTATATTTTGAAGATACATAATACTTCGTATATCTATGCTTCGTAAAAACTATTTAGGCGATGAGGTTTTCTAGAAAAGCTACATATTCGCCATGATTTACTTCAATAGAGCTACTGAATGCTTTGCTCCTTGTTATTCACAGGATAATATCCTGCACGTTTTTTTTCCGACTTGGAGGCTCTCTTCTCCAGGTATTCCGACTGGGGTCCAGTGGAGACTCATATGTGTACCTATGGAACAGTCCATCTAGATTCTAGAGACAGGCTGTATTCAAGTTTTACTTACGGTCGTTCCCGCGTAATCTGGAATTGCATCAACGATGTACCTTCCAGTCTGGAATCCAGAGAGATAATTGGTGGATACAGACGGGATTTGATACTGTTCCTTGTACTGAGTTAAAATATAAATTGCGGGAAAATGTCGTCTACACTCTTAGCATCGTGAATGATGAGTTCACATTAACATAGTACATCTTCCATCTATAGACAACCTGTGCGACTGTTGCAGCCTCGCAGTCTTTATTGGTCCTACTTTTCCAGATTAGGCGGGGATGACTGTATTGAACAGAAATGTAGTATTCAAGATTTGATTATTCGCAATCAGTGATGTGTACATATGAATCATATGATATGATATGTAACATATCGGTACCGAAGTCCCCTATATATGGAGCCCATTTTATCGTATACGATTTGAATTTTTATTTTAAAACTACTTCGAAGTTCTGTTTTGTATGTATCACACCTTCTATATTGAATAATTCTGCAGCATTAGATCCAAGCCAAATTGAGAGGGACTTCTGACTCAAATCCAGAAGAGGCTGCGCAACTTGGCACTGCCAAGTGATTGTACATTTCAATCCCCATCTTCTAAGCGTATCGTCCTGCTCTGCATGCATTGCGTACTAATACACAAAGGCAGCCGTCACTTCGCAACTTGCTCCATACACCACAAGACCAACAAGAACGAGCGCAGAGGTGATAATACAGGAGGAATGCGTCTTTGTGCCGTCGTGCTACTGACAGCGGCTACCCTGGTCGTAAGTGCCAGCGCTACATTAGGCGTGAAAGCTGCAGAAAATGGTTTGGTTCATCCGGCTCAAGATGGAACTCAAGGCGTCAGCGTCAGCAAATACAGACTTTTGCGATCCCAGAACACTGCGGAGGACGAACAAGAGGAGAGGACGTTCGGTATCAAGTCGATCCCCGGCGTTGACAAAATCTCCAACTTCGTAAGCAACCAAAAACTGTCAAAATGGCTGAAGAAAGATAAGGACGCGGACGCCGTCTTCATGAAGTTGAAACTCAATACGGCTGGCGAAAGTATTTTTCAGAACCCCAAGTTTCTCGTCTGGGCCAAGTACGTGAGCAACTACAATGGCAAGCACGAAGACAAGATAGCGTCGATGTTCCCGACGTTGATGAAGCAGTACGGTCAGTCTCGTTTGGCAAGGATGCTCGAAGAAGCCAAGCAAGTGGGAACCACCAAAGATGTCGCCACCAAACTGCAGACTGAGCAGATGAAGTTCTGGAAGGATGCTGGGGTCACAACAGACGATATTTTCAAGTCGTATAAGCTCGACAGTGGAGTGACGAACTTGCTCGATAACCCTGGAGTGAATATTTGGATCCGATACGCTGACGAGTTCAACCCTGGCTCAAAGATAATGCTCTTCGAAAAACTCAGATCGACCTATTCAGACACGGCGTTGTCGCAGATTCTGATTGCGGCGCAAAAATCCTCGAAGACGGAATTGCTGGCATCAAAACTGCAGAACCAGCAACTCCGGGTTTGGCTGGACAGGCTGGAACCGCCGGAAAACGTCTTCAAGTTGCTCATGCTCGACAAGGGGGCAGATGGGCTTCTTGCTAACCCGCAACTGCAAACGTGGATCCGATATACAGAAACGTACCGAAAAGAGAATCCCTACGCGAGAAAGGTGACCGTGATAGATACTATGATGAGCTACTACAGCGACACCGCTATGTCAACTATCCTCAAGACGGCAAGGACGCATAAGGCAAGATACGCAGCTTCAGGTTTGGAGCGTGATCTTCTCGCTAGATGGGCGACAGCTAAAAAGCCAATCGAATACGTCACGAAGACTCTGAGGCCGTCAACAGCGGCGGAAAAGATGCGTGTGGAGGTCTTGTATCAATCAATGCTCCAAGCGGCTCGCTCTTCCTAGGCGAGACTCGTTGTTGCGAAGACGATGCTATGAACAACTAGCTTCGGTTTCAAATACTAAAGCAACACGATTATTTTTTATACAAGGGCGAACATACCGTAGCTCATACAGTTTGTGCTAGGGGAAATACGTTCTAGAGCCTCAAGTTATAACAGCACATATCGACATAAAAAGCTCCTTGCATCAACAATACTATTAAAAGTAGTAGTAGTAGTATATTTTCCGATCAGTGGTAATACTAACGAGTAGTAGGAGAAAAGGTTCTTATTGCTACTTAATCTAAATTAAATATTATTAACACAGTATAAGTGACTCAAGGTCAACCCTCGTACTGATATTACGATTCGTAATATACGAAGGCAGGGCACAGGAGCTCGTGGGGCGGGTATCGGTAGTTGTTGTCCAGATCAACAGAAGATCGGGGATACTGTGGCGGCCGCTGCTGGTACTGCGGGCTCAAATATCAGAATAGATGACAAGACGCAGCACGTCTTAGATTATTGAGGGATGCTGGCCATGACCGAGATCGACGGCGTGTTTGAGGTCACTGAGCCACCGTGTTGACTTCGCGCTGTTGCATCACGTTGTCAACA